CAAACCTAAAATCATTTTGTAAATAATTAGAATTTCTTATTTACTTTTCTTTGCGCCAAACATTATCTAACATACCACTGGATTGCCGTTAATACTACGTGTGCCACACGAGCGCTGGGATGCTATAACATAGCGTTCGGCTTGATTGCGATTGCGTACGTTGAATACATTAGCTATTTGTGGACAATATTGTAGTTGCACGCAAAAACCGTAGTAGTTTTCCGGTGTGACGCAGTTATACTGGCCTGTGGAAAAAAGAAAAAATTGATAGAGCTCTTAATTGTAATAGTAAATGGAATGGTGAATTATGAACAATCGTCTCCATCCATAACTTCAGCTTTGATGATCTTACTATTCCCAAGGCAAATTGGAGTAATTAGATCTTTTAAGAAAGGAGAAGTGTATCGCCAATGGTCCCAGGTACTATAAAAGGCATTGCCATTAATGTAATTTCTGATCATCTGGAAATACGAGGATCTGTGAATTTTCGCCTTAGGCTAAACTAACATCAATTGACAAGGCTACTGAAAAATAAGGTGCACTGGGATAGTAATAAAAGGTTCACTTACAGCCAGTCGACCATAAATCCATCAAGTCTATAAACGAGATGCGAGAGAGTCTTTACTGGGGAGGACCAGGCACTTCAGGAAGGGGTTCACCATTAACAAAATACAATTGGAAACGACGCAGAGTAGCTAAATGGTAGTAAGTAAATCTGGACTTCAAAAGTAACGTCCAAGTCCAATTCAATTTAGAAGAAAATTGAGAAGAAACCCAGTTGCCGATAGAGAGGCTGTCTCTATCTACTACGGCGAATCCAAGATAAACTGCGGTTCACTCTCGATCCGCTCCTGCCACATATACATACATTTGTACGCATTAGCGCACACAAGGGGTTCGTTTTGGGGTTCAAACCCCCCCTAAAGCTAATAACCTCAAATACAATATGTATCTTAAAGCTAAGAGTCCAGCTCTCAAGGAAATTATAAGAAATATTTATTATAATTTCTGTTGCTTGAAAAAGCGCGAAAATATACGAGCTTTTATTTCTTGAGAGCTGCAAATTAATTTAAGAAATTTTGGTAGAAGAATATTTCTTTTCCATTTCTCGTCCGTCGTTTAATATGAATTTTTCGTTTTTCTTGAGAGTTCAGTTAATTTTTTCGGTATTTGAAATATTAAAAAAAATTAACAATCGTGAAAAATCACCATCTCTATCGAAAACCAGAAATCGAAAAAATTAACATAGAAGTGCAAAAATTCATGGAATCAATAAATTTATTTTTACTGACTCTTTTTTTAAATTTTTGATTAGGTACTTTTGAAAGTTGAGCGCATCTTGAGTTTATAGAACTTTTTATTAAACAAGTAGTTTTTAAGGAAAGAACACAACCGACTTCAATTCTCATATTCAAATTTAGGGGTACCGTTAATTTCTTCATGATCCAATCATCGGATCTCTAAAACAAATTACGGGACGAACCTTGAGGTACTATCCAAAGTTATGTATTCCGGCGAGATGATAACCTCCCTTTTTTTGAAGTCGGTTAAAAGCGTTTGAGTTCTGTTTATCCGTAAATAAAGTGCAGTTTATGAATTTTAAAACGTTTATTTATTTATTACATACTGTACATAAAACTTGCCAAATGTATTTTAAAGAGGGTATTATCTGAAGCAAATTTTCAGTATTTTCCGGTGATATATCTTCAGAAATATAAAACCCCCCCTAAAATATATTCCTGGGTGCGCCCCTGTTTGTACGGGTAAATACGAGTAGTCTCCTAAGTACATATATGTCTACAATTATCGCTCAATCTATCACTAAGCACTTTGTTTAATTTCAATTCATTGTCAAGGCTTTAAACAAATATCTCCTAAGTATAGTATATTATTGATTTGTTATATTTTTTGTATTTTCAACTCTCATGTTCCTATTCATGTATTTATATATATATGTATATTTTTTTTGCACGCCCGAATATTCATGGCCTTGAATTCGGGCCATCAACTGACCGCCAACTGGTTTACAAAACTTGCATACGAAATACTAAGTGCCATGAGTGTATGTATGTACATGTGCAGTATTTTACCAAAATTGATATTTAATGCACATAAAAAGTAGCTTCTGGAAATTAAACTAAGACCAGCTGCTGTTGAATTAAATAATTCCATACGCTTTTTTATGCTTTTGTATACTCGTAGTATATGGATACAAGCCAGCTCAATTAAATAATCATAAACGCGGGAAACTAAAAAAGCTACTATAAAAACTCCAGCAAGCTTTCTAGCAGATCATTAAATAACCCAACAGAAGTGAATTGGAATGAATATCATCTTTTACAGAAAGAATTTTAAAGGAAGCCACATTTTCTATGTCATCAAAGCGCTGCACAGTGTTCACCATTCACTGGAGCCTGCATTTTTCACTCCATTTCATTCTCTTGTTTTAATTAAAGCTAATAAAATTTGCAGGCGACCAATTGAGCCCGATTTTTGAGTTTTTGTTTGTTTGTATTAAATTTTTTAGTGCAAAATGCAGCAAAAGTAGCAATTCTAAAAAAAATTCGACTATCCTGTTCCAGTTAATAAATGTTACATAATAAGAACAAGTTGAAAACAATTGTAGGGTTGCCCCGAAACGATAGAAATTCAAAAAAAAATTTGAATGTTTTAAAAAAATTTTCACAGAAATTAAAAAAAAAGAGTTTCTAGAAAAATGTTTTATAGATCATTAAATTTTAGTATAATAAAGTGCAATTTGAAAGTGACTGAGAGGTCATGTTGATTTTTAATAATTTTTCGCTAACATCTGCTCTAACATCTGGGAAATAAAAGCGTTTGCTATATTGTTAAAAATCAACTCTTAGCCACTTGGAACTTACACTTTATCATACTAAAGATAATTTATCTATAAAACTACATACCCAAAATTTTTATAAAGTGCAAAAAAAAGTTAGATTTGGTGAAAAATTTTTTATAACAATTAAACTTTTTTTAATTTTTTTTTTATTTTCTGAGAACTCTACAATTGTTTTGAACTAGTTTTTATTATGTAACATTTATTAACAGGAACAGGAGAATTGATTTTCTTCTAATTAATCTGATTAACGATTAAAATTGAGCTATTAAAATGTTAATCGCGATTGACGATTATAATTAATTAATCGTAATCAGCTGCACGATTAATTATTAAATTTTTTTAATCGTTAATCGTCGGTTGTGATTACGATTAATTAATTTTAATCGTTAATCGTTTATCCAATTAAAAGAAAAATCTGATTAAGCGGTCTAGTTTGTCTAAATTTAAAAGCAAACACCAGTTATGGTTATTATTTTGTGTTTCAAGCCCATAAAAAGCACATAATATATAAAAAAAATTATTGTTATTCTTATTAGTAACACATAAATTGGTGATTTTTACAAGCCTTCGCAAATATACAGGGGGTTATTAATACCTAGTTTGAATAACGTCTCTTAGAATAGATCTTAATAAAAATGCACACCAATTTGCTTAGATTTATGATTAATGATTAAAAATTAATTTTTAAACTAAATCGAATTTACTAATTGATTACAAAAACAATCGATAAGTGCCAACACTGATACAAACAAACAAAAATTCCAAAATCGGGCTCAATTAGCCTTTTGCAAATTTTATTAGCTTTCATTCAAAAAAAAAAAATGAATTAAATTGAATGAAAAATGAAGGCTTCAGTGAACACAAAATGCCAATTTTGAACCACTGTGCGCTGCCTTTTTAAGATTTTGTGTTTGTGGGACAAGGTCGTTCTATGACCCCTTAACCTTTGAGTGCGAATAAAACAAAACTCACACATTCTGAACTATGGCTTCATTTAAGGAAAAAAAAAAAAGTTCAAACTTTTGAGTCTGTGTTATTTTTACAAAGGTAATTTTTTACTTTCATTGAAATTTTCGTCGTGCCGTATATTTAAGATTGTTCCTATTTACTGATTTTGTAGTAGAACTTGTTTCATATATTTAATCGCACTGGTGACAAATGACTTTATTTTGCATATGTAAATATTTATTCAATAAAACCAACATTAAATACTTGACTTTTAATGCCATTTTCTGACTTGCATTTTCTTCATGATTTTATTTGAATATTCAAAAGTTTACTCATACATATTTACACTACTACTGCTAAAAATTTTCTCACAATATTCTAACACTTAGCGAAATTTAAATGAAATGTTTATTTTAAATTACATGCGCGTGATTTTTTTATTTCTATTTTTTTGCTTTACATTTCCAACCTACCTTGTGAGTAAACCGCTGGCAGTATGGCAAAAGCAAATGCCAATAGAGCTATAGAAGTTCTCATCTTATAGCAATTTCGAAATTTTTGTGAACTTATTTGAGGGTTGAAAAATGCTGCAGCTCCACTACAATTTTTTCTTTCTTTAATTTTCTAATTCACACCATCACTCGTACACGAATTATTTATTCTATGATTTATGTAATTTTAAATTTTGTCACTTCTTCACTTGTTGTCTTGATGACGCGATATGCCGATAAGCTTGTCGAATGCTAGCTTCTTTCTATGTACGCGCTCAAATCGAAACTGTTTACGAAAATCACAAACGAATCTTCACATAGCGCAAAACTGCTAATTTTTCAGCTAACTAAGTTTTCAACGAATCTTTTTTACTCAAACCATTCAACAGCATTCGCATAAACAAACTGCCAGCCGGTTTATATTTACAATGCATATTTGTAGATGTGTCGTGTATGAGCCGTCATCAATTGTTTAGTAACACAGCCAGTGTCCAGTAGGCAGTAGCCGGTTACATGAAACACAACACGAGCGATTAAGGGTGTATGAATGTATGTACGTACATACTTACATACATAAACATGTATATACAAAGCATAAAATTGTGCGAAGCTAATGAATGACAACTTTATTAATAACTTGAAATTAATGCATAATTTAGCATGTATTTCACTTTACAGCCCAGCTAAACGGGGATTTCTTGTGAGAGTTTGGTCAAAATTAGCAATGCTAACGATGGAAAATAAAATCACTTGCCAACAAACTCACTTGCCACTTAAGGAAACTACAAATATGAATTGTTTAATATTGAAATTAACATTGAGAATATTCAAATTTTGTTTAGTTTAAATTATAGCAAAATTGCTCTGCTTACACTTGATTTGAAGAGCGCGAGAACTATGACGAAGGCATTCATTGCGTGTATTCTACTCTCCACAACAAACGGAAGACTGAAAGCACGAACTTGCTCTGCAGCGGCGCGCACATCTTGGGAAGTAACCGTATCTAGTAATTACAGTTATTAGGCAACACAAAAAAAAAATACCCCAGAGACAAGCAAATACGCTGGTATTTAAATTCTATTTGTGTACAGTTACTATGAGAAACTAGAGAAATTATTTTTGCTCAGATTTACATAAGAATACACGAATGTAAATATAAGTAATTTTACATATGCTATGCTATACATAACAGTATTTGAAAAAAAAAATAAATAAACTTATTTATAGCTTTCATAAAATTCATACCAAAAATACATTTTTCTGAGTGAGTGCATTATGTGAACAATTTACGTATATGTTATTATATTTTTTATTTTGAATTCTAATTCTGTTTTTTTTTGGCGTTGATAAAAAAAAAAGAAAATAATTTGTAGATTTTCAGATTTTTCGCAATTTTTGGGGTTTTCTTCGAAAATTTTCGGGAGTTCTTTTGGAATTTCAGATTTTTCGTAACCTTTTTGGGCCTTTCGGAATTCCTTCGGCATTTTTCGTGTTTTTGTTTTGTATTTTTTGTAACTTTTGCGGGCTGCAGGTTTTTTACGGGACTTTTCCAATTTTTTTTACCATTGGTTATTTTTTCGGCGACTTTTTTTGAAAGATATCGGTTCGATATGACTTTTCGTAATGTTTGAAATTTTTTTTCATAACCTTTTTATATTTTTATTTTAACACTTTTTGCAGTTTGCAATTTCTTTCGGAATTTTTTCGAAAACCTCTGTCGACTTCTTATACTTTTTTTTTGAGAACCTTTCTGGTTTTTAGGTGACCGTTTGCGATTAGTTCGGGATTTGATTGGGGCTTTTTAGTTTTTTCTGACTTTCCATAATTTTCCGAGGTATTTTTAAACCCTACCAGAGTTTTGAGTGAGTTTTGCAAATTTTGGGATTTTCGCAGAACTCGTATAGGGCCTTTCAATTTCTATTGGGTTTCTTCGAGGGTTTTCAGTTTTTGAAAACTATTTGGAGCTAATTCTGCAGGAGTCTTTTAGTTCTTTTTGAGATTCTTAGCAACTTTTGCCAGTTAGGATTTTTAGAATTTAAGACAAGTAATTTTTAAGCCAAAAATAAAATCGACTTCAATTCCCATATAAAAATTTAAGAGTACCATTAATTTCTTAATGATGCAATGATTGGATCTAAGCCAAATTAGTATGGGGAGAGCTCTTAGGTACAGCCTTTCCTTTAAACAAAATTTTAGAAAAAAAAAAAATATTTACGAATTGATAACCTGGAGACTTCTTCGGGATAATTCGACTTTTTTGTTCAAGTTCAAGAATTTACGGTTTTTAAACATTTTCTGTGAATAAAAATAAATAAAAATCTGGATTCCTTAGGGACATTTCGAGCTTTTTAACGACCTTTTGTGATTTGGTCGCGATTTTTAGGTATTATTTTGGGACTTTTCGGTATTATGGTAACTTTTCAAAATTGTTCGGAATTTTCTTGAATTCTTTTATTTTTTCCCGGATTTATTAGGTACCATTCCAATTTTCGTGACTTTTTATGTTTGTTTCTTTATCTTTCGGGTCCTTGAGGGATTTTTAATGATTTTGGCAAGTTTTCGAAGTTATTAGGAACGCTTCCGATGTTCGTGACTTTTTGGCAGTTTTTCGGTTTCTTATGGGATAACCTGAGGACTTTTTGTTTTTTTTTTGTATGACTATTTGAAATTTTTGGGGAGGTTTATTTTGGAATCCTTCGGATTTTTCGTAGCCATTTCAGCTTTTGAGTTTTGTATTTCGAAATTTCTCGAGACTGCTTTTGGACTTTTTTTCGTGAATTTTTGAAGTTTTCCGGAGCTTTTGTAGCACTTTTCGATATTTCCAGTTTTATTTGGGGTCTTTTACGAGTTTCTTTTTTCTTTCAGTTTTAAAGGGATGCTCACTTTAGTAAATCTTAATTTCAAAATATCAATGAAATTATGGCTCCTAATTTCGTCTGAAAACAATAAAATAAAAAGCTGAAGTAACCATTTTTCTTGGCTAAAATATTTAAGTGGAATTTAATATTTGGTTAATTTTTATTTGTAACCTGTTTCATGAAATGTATAGCCGGCGCGAGCTCTATATAATTTTTATTCTGTTGGGATTACATTTTCTCTATTTTTAACTGGTAAAGGTTAAAAATTGGTAAAGGCCATTTTATAGTTTTCTTTACGCTCAGTTGAATTGTGTACCCATCTTTCCCCAAAGCTTTTACTAAGATCCATTCAACTACCATATATAAGATTTCTTTAAGAAAAAATTAAAAACATATTTAAGAAGAAATAGACCGCTGGAGGACCTAAGACCCTTTGTTATCCGACAAATTAAAATATCTTTAGAAAATATATATGCAATATCGATAGCCAACAAAAGTATTGCAAAAGGGGTTTCGAACTAAAATATTTTTGAACAGGGTGGCCACCTGTGAAAAAATTAAATTGAATAAGTAATTTAATTTAATACAAAAGGGAAGGCATTTATGGCCATATTCAATTTCATTAAATATAGGTGCCATCTTTCAGAAATTTATAGTATTTATATACGCATTACGTACGCATGTTGAAAGTATTATTATACACATTAGTATAAAAGTAAAGTTTTGGGTTTTTTTTAATAGCGTTGCCACCTAGCAATAAAAAATAAAAATAAAAATTTTTTTTCTACATTTACGCCTTTTATTTATTTTAAATACAGCCGCTGACTTGACGTCCTTACATGTTATAATTGAAATTTAATCTAGTCTAACATGTAATTCACCTTCCCATGCAATTCAATAGAAAGTTGTAACATTGCACTGCAAGAAAAATAATACAACGAACATTATTTGGTCAAACAGAATCACTTTGAGAATTGGTTGTCGGAAAATGACGTATATGCATTTATATACTCTGAATTGCTTAATAAATTCTCACATTTAAAATTCTTTGAGCATTACAAATTAAAATAAAATCAATAATCGTGTCCGGCATTCGAAACTAGTGACCAGTGTGTCATCAACTGTGTCAGCGCCGTTTTGTGGCTGCATAAGTAGTAAAATGCTAAAATTTTATCATCGAGTTGTGGGCAGCAATAGCAACAGTAACAGTATTAAATATGTAGCATAAATGCTGAATATCAAAGCTGTGCTGCAATTGCAGTTTTTATTTGCGCCAGCTTGGCATCCGTTTATGCGGATATTCCAAATTATTTACGGATTTGCGTTTCAAGGTAGTTCAGTTTTTTATAAGCTTTTTTGTTATTCATTTTTTCGACATTGCGTGTAAACGCTTTTTCCAAGAATGCTACTTGAATCAACTTTGTTGACATATCAAAAGTAAATCAAATGACACAACTTAAGTAAATATGGTTGCGAAAGGGAGAATACTTCTAAGCTGAATTGTTAGCAAATTTCATAAAAAGAGTTTTTGCGCTTATTTTTTTTTTTTTTTTTTTAATAATACAGTGTGTAATACTCGTCTGTAATTAAACATANGCATATCAAAAGTAAATCAAATGACAAAACTTAAGTAAATATGGTTGCGAAAGGGAGAATACTTCTAAGCTGAATTGTTAGCAAATTTCATAACAAGAGTTTTTGCGCTTATTTATTTTTTTTTTTAATAATACAGTGTGTAATACTCGTCTGTAATTAAACATAATTACAGCTAAAATGTATTTTTTTAGATTTCTAATGAAACGTTGTGTAATTAAAGCAAACTTTTTCATCGTTCTAGAAACTATTTAGAAAGAGAAAATTAATGGCTTCAGAAATAATTATTTCTACGTCTAGACGTAGCGTAGTTAAGGACNAATAATACAGTGTGTAATACTCGTCTGTAATTAAACATAATTACAGCTAAAATGTATTTTTTTAGATTTCTAATGAAACGTTGAGTAATTAAAGCAAACTTTTTCATCGTTCTAGAAACTATTTAGAAACAGAAAATTAATGGCTTCAGAAATAATTATTTCTACGTCTAGACGTAGCGTAGTTAAGGACAGAATGATTGTTTTCTCACTGTATGGAACATACTCCATTTGCGTTACAAATCTACACTGAAATAAGTTATAGAAAAGGAGCAGGAGCGTATGTTTTTGAAATATAGGCTGCGGATCTGGACACATTTGAATGTGAGAACAAATTGGGTTTTCATAATTCTTAGTCAATGATAGATGCGATCTGTGACAAGTGCGGAGACCACTAAAAATATATAATCAGTGATAACCTTGGCAACTGAAACTGGGTTCAGTATTTACTGCTGGAGATATAATTACTTAGTAGGTTAGCACTTTAAAGAGAAGATGTTGATTTGCAAAACAAATTACGGAATAAAAAGGCACAAGGCCATAGAATTTTCATTTTTGCAGACGTCATTGCATAGATTTCTATCGAGCTCCTTCAACCAAACAGAAACAAAGGAAATATTACACATAAGTTTGATTCATCCAAAAAACGTCTTTGACTCGCTAATGAAACTACGAGAGCCGTTCTACATCTAAGCCAAAAATGGCGCCTAGTTTTGTTATACAAAAATGGGACAACCAAAGCGAGGGACTCTACGAACACAATGGAAA